AAAAAAATCTCTAAATAATAACCCATCTTAATGACTACAAATAATAAGTTATTATAATAACTAAAATAGTTAATAAACAAAATAATTATTGATAATTAAAATAGTTTCTAAATTGGTAAATTGATCATTATCATTAGTTACTAAAATTTTGACTTTCAACTAAATTGATCTTTAAACTAGTTACTAGACTAATTCCTTTAAAACATTTGTATAACTTTAAGAGTGGTATAAGTATAATTTCTCTAAAACATTTTAATAACATCACAATAGTCAAAACCTTATTAGTGATTTTTTACCTTATTTAAGAAAACAAAAATGATTAAACATAGAATTAGTCTCAATTTGAGTATTAGAATTTGTCTGCATACACTTCTCTGCAAATTTTTTAACATGAAACATATATTATTTTTATCTCTTCGTGACAAGTTTGACGACAAGGCACTATAGGTAAAGTCATAAATTTATAATATCAATATTGACCTATCCTAATTAAAAAGTTTTTTTTTTCTTTTGCTGATGGCTGTTAGCAAGTACTATACATAATTTCCATCATAAGTAACCATCGGACTTGGTCATCCAAAGGAGTTTTGATAAGGAATATTCTTTTACATATATGAAAGATTACATACAATAAATAATAGGAATGTTAAATATCTAAAGAAAACACGAGGTTTAAATAATCTAGATTTAGGTATAGACAATACGATGTAATTACTACTAATCATTCCAACAACATAAAATTATAACTGGTGAGAGAGAATTCTTAGATAAGAAAATATATTTTATACGTATATATTTTGCAACAACAACATTAGATAATTTTGATTTGTGAGTTGAATGTTTTGCAAGACTCATTTTGCATTTCTTTTTCAAATAAAAGGTTTGAAAAAGAGTAGATACACTTGATTAAACCTTTATTATAAATTTTATGTATGATTATTCTATATTTTTTTTGTTTGTTATCATAGAAAATGTTCCTTTTTTGGTACCAGAATGTTGAATAAATAAACACGTACCTTGCTCATAAATTCCTTAAACAGAGTAGAGCTAAGATCAATTTCCAATGGAAATGACTTCAGCCAACTTAATTGTCTTCAGAGTTCCTGGACATAAAGTTGCCATCTCGTCGCACTGTGTTATTGACAAGTCCTCCAACAATGGAAAACTTAAACTCCCTTTGTAAAGCCATAGGAGATTGTTCAGATATTTAAGATTCAAACAATTGAGCTTCGGAAATATTATTTCATCCTCATCATCTGATTCCTCCCCTTCTTTAGACGCTATTTCTTCAATTGATTCACACTCTTCTATCGCCATTCTTTGGAGTTTAGCCAAACTTTTGGCTGTTGAAGATGTGAACAAATATGACAAGCTATCGCAATTTTCAACTTTTAAATATATCAGATTCGAGAAAGACACTCTGCATGTTACCAAGTTTTCTAAACTGGAACACTTAAGGATTTCAAGGGTTTCTAGATTTCTGACAAAGGGCTGAGTCAAAGAGTTCTCTAACCCAATGGAAACCAACTTTTCGAGGGACTCCAAGTGTAATATTTTCAGCTGTAATAGAAGTCCACCATAATCTACATTATTAGGACTTTGACAGCAGAACATCTTCTTCAAGGAACCACCACATACCGCAAGCTTCTCTATATTGGGAAACTCTTCTAGAATTTCATACCCAAATGCATCCGAAAACAAGATAGTAAGAACTTTTAAGTTGGCTAAGAAGTTTCTCTTAAATTCTCCACGTAAAATCATCTCTACTCCCTTATTCCCCAGTGACAACCACTTTAACTGAGAAAAAGCACCAGCAAAGCAGGTTATGGCTATTAGTATTCCATCTCTTTTATATACAAGACAAATAAATAACCTTGAATGCTCGAATATTCCTGATAAGTAATAATCGGTGACAAATTAACTACGTGATGGTACAAGATTGTCTGTGAGCAGCCTTAGCTTTAGAAATGCAAAAGTAAAGGCTGAGGAAATCTTTACTTGCACAACTTAAAAGTATAGGCCGAAATCATAAATAAGTATCCAATAAATAATTTTTCAAATTGTGATTGATGCATGTGTTCAATCACGTGTGTAAAATCAATGCACGCTTAGTCACATTATAAGATTGGCATGTCGGAATTCATTTTCATGTTTGTTACCCAAAGTTACATAGATTGAGGGCTGGAGGCCAATGATGATATGTAATAATCACTGTCAGATTGTGATAATGTAGAGGACGAATTGATGATATTTGATCTATAATTAATTGAACATACATTTGCTCGTAGAATTGTAAGGAAATACGACACTTGCAGCAAAGTGTAAGGCATATGCTGAATGATATCAACTTTGTCTTGTCAAGATAACATCTCATTTATGTAAAAGAAAGTGATTCTTTGACAGTACCATCACCACAATAAGGTAATATATACTTATAAAAAAAAAGGAAATTTTTGAATTTATAAAAAAAAAATTGAAAAATAAAATAATAATTATGAAGTGATTGTAAAAATTTACTGAGTGTCAAGGTATTATAATCCTTGTATAAAATATTTGATGTGTACATATGTTGTCTCCACTAATGTAATCAATGGTGTATGCAGTGTACCCGGTGGGCACCGAAAGAGGCCTAGTCCGGTAAGGAAGGTTGGCCGATTGGTTAGATAAGGAGCGTGGTTAATCGGTTAAAACTGAGAGTGGGTGGAGGCAAATAATAGACGAATAAAGAGCATTAAAGGTCAATCAATGCAGTGAAAAATGAAACATGGGATGTTAATGGTCAGAGAACGAACAATAGGAAATAAAATATACGAAATGAATATGGCATTAATTAGCAGCTAACGGTTGTCGTTAGGAATCAACTTTATAAATATCTGATGGGTGCTTAGGTAAAGGTACTTTTTGATCTAAATAATTACAGCGTTGAGACTTTTCAAACTAAAAAACTAACTTGAGCGTCGGAGTGTTTTCCTACAGGAGACGACCGATCGGTATAGTGGAGTTGATATCTTAAAGGGGATCGTGGTGGCATCGCAGCGGGAAGAAGGAAGCGCAGCCTCGGACCTACTTACAGAAACCCAAGTGAGACCGCAATGGCAGAGGAGCTTCAGTTACAGGTGCTACAAGAAATGCAAAGGCAGATGCAGGACTTGAGGGCAGAGATGGCAGCAATAAGGGCGGATCGGGGTAACGGGGCGGGGAGACAGTCGGTGCAGTCGGTGAATAATGAGGTCGCCAATCCAGAGAATAGAGGGGAGAGTAATCGTCCCACACGTGAAAATGGGACGCGGGAGGTAACTAATGCCTCAAGACGTAATACGCAGGGTGGAGGGCGAAACATGGAGAATCAAGCGGGGCAGAACATGGGGAATCAGGCAGGGCACAATGTGGAGAATCACCAGGGGCGAAATGTGGGAAACCGGCCGGGATACAATGTGGAGAATCCAATACCCATGAATAATGCGGTCCATGAAGACTATTTAGCGCTTGTAGAACGTCTTGATCAAGCCGAGGGGCTTCATCCTTTTACCGCAACGGTGATGAGGGCGCCCATGCATGAAAATAAATTGCTCCCAATAATGGAAAAGTATGAAGCGATAACCGATCCTGAAAAGCATCTTAGGTCTTTTGTTGATGTTATCGCGATTTATTCTTTAGATGATTCGGTTTGGTGCAGAGTATTCTCGTTGTCTTTGAAGGATGAGGCGTTGGATTGGTTTCATTCATTGCAACCTGAGACGGCCGACAGGTTCGCAACGCTAAGATATTTATTCAATCAACAATATGCATCCAACAGAACGCAGGGATTAACGTACCTTGCTTTAGTCCGGATGAGGCAAGGGAGAGAAGAAACGCTTAAGGCGTTTATGGACCGCTTTAATCAAACCGTGCGTCAAATAAGAAATGTGGATCAGAAGTTAATCATAGGTGCCCCGACAATGATGCTAAGACCGAGACCTTTCGTGGACTTTCTTTATGCAGAGGAACTCCAGACATTGGCCGAGCTGCGGATAAGGCAACAATGTTTATTTGAATTGAGGAGGGGCGTGCTTTCCAACAAGCACAAAGAGAAGAAGTGCTTCTGCAGGCCAGATCAAACCGTGGGAGGAAGGATGGAGGGCGAATGTTGAGGAGAAATGAGGGAGCAAGCGAGCAAAGGCACAGAGACCTTCCTAGGGTGCCTCAGTATGTTCATTATACGCCTTTGAATGCACCAAGGGCGAGGGTAATGGAAGAAGCGTTAAGGGCTGATTTGCTAGCCTTGGCGCAATCCCTCACTCCTAGGAGGATGATGGGTGGAAGCATTGTCAATATCATCAGAACTTGGGACACACCATGGAAGACTGTATCACACTGAAAGATAAATTGGAAAGTTTAGTACAGGCAGGGCACTTGAGAAAATATGTACAAGATAAGGGACAAAGATCCTCGGGAGGATCTGAACGTCCATCTAAGAGGAGTAATCATCCTAGGAAGGATGATTGGTCAAAGAAGAATCAGAGAAACCGAAGTAGGAGGAGAGAACGACCCTTACGGGATGTAATCAACACTATTTTGGGAGGATTCGCTAGTGGGGGACCTTCGGCATCAACGCGAAAACGACACTTGAGAAGCCTGCATAGTGTTCACTGTGTGGAGGTGACAAAAAGGTCAATGCCAAGGATAAACCTTTTCGGACGAGGATTTTCATGCTCCTGACCCTAATCAAGACGACCCGATGGTTATAACGGCGGTGATTGCTCGGTATAGTGTGGGTAAAGTTTTGGTTGACCAAGGATGTTCGGCCAACATATTGTACTGGAAAACTTTTCAACAGATGGACATTTCAGAGGACATGATCATGTCATTCCATGAACAAATATAAGGATTTGCAGGGGAAAAAGTAGATACGAGAGGTTATGTTGATCTGAGAATGTGTTTGGGGACGGAGAATAACGCCAAGGAGTTGAGAGTTCGATTCTTGATGGTGGAAGCTAACACATCATATAATGTTTTACTGGTCGACCGTGTTTGAATGCCTTCGGGGCCATTGTGTCTACTCCAAATTTGACGTTGAAGTATCCATCTGACAATGGGAAAGTTTGGGTTGTTAGGACGGATCAAAAGGTGGCTCGAGAATGCTATGTGGCAGGGTTAAAAGTTAAACCCTAGATTTCAACTAAGAAGGTAGAAAGGTCGGAAGTGGCTATGGCGGAGCTAGACTCAAGGGTGAATATAGAAGATCGGATGCAACCGTTGGGGGAGGTGCAACCTTTCATTCTGGGGACAACGGGGGACCAGACTACTACCATTGGTAGAAGTCTTACTGAGGAACAGAGTCGAGAGGTTGGTCGAGTTTTGAGGGCAAATAAGGATTTATTCGGATGGACGGCAGCTGACATGCCAGGGATTCATCCTAGTATAATTTCTCACAAGCTATCTTTGTTTACAAATGCACGGCCGGTCGCCCAGAAGAGGAGGAGGTTGGGATTAGAAAAAAGAAGAGCGGTGGACGAGGAGGCCCGGAAGCTAATGGAGTCAGGTTTTATTCATGAGGTAAAGTACACAACTTGGCTGGCCAATGTGGTGATGGTGAAGAAATCCAACAGAAAATGGAGAATGTGCACCGATTTCACAGATTTGAACAAAGCGGGCCCAAAGGATGCATACCCGCTCCCCAACATTGATGGTCTGGTTGATGGAGCCTCGGGGTATTAAGTGCTTAGTTTTTTGGATGCGTATTCGGGATATAACCAAATTCCCATGTATCATCCGGATCGTGAGAAGACAACATTTATAACTGAACGATCTAATTATTGTTACGATGTGATGCCATTTGGTTTGAAGAACGCGAGGGCCACATACCAGCGACTTATGGACAAAAAGTTTCAAAATTATGAGGACTAAAAACTATCAAAATTTTGAATATGGACTAAAATCAAATTCGTGTGATACTTAAGGAACGAAAAACATATTTAACCCTTTAAAAAATTATAAAAAGACATAATATCTCCTTGGAAGCTTTGGCAGCTTTGGCAAAAGGTCCCAAAGAATTCAATTTTGGATTCTTATTATATAAGTTGTACAAGGTGGGACTACGTGACTTTCCCAACAAAGCGTAAAGTAAAAATATATCACTCACTGACTAAATATAAAGAGAGGATAATGTTTAATCAATAAAAATTCAAATTAACATGTACTAAAATCAAATCTATCAATCTTAATTATATTAAAAGTTATAAAGGCGTATAAAAAAAGATATTAATTAAGTTGACAACAGATAAAGTTTCGCAAATGTAAAGACTATGCATACTTATCTGGTTTTTAAGAACAATCTACGAAATTAAAATTTTGTAGTTTGTATTTAAAGGATTTATGTTGAAAGAATTTAAAATTTTTAAAAGAATATTATAACTTTATAAGATTTGAAATAAGTTCATGGATTTTAAAAAAACTTTCAAAAGTAAATAATATTAAAAAGACTGAAATGGTTTGAACAAAAATGAAAAACCAAGACAAAAATTTTCAACCTTTTAATAGTTTTAATTTCATGTTTTAGTTCTCTACGCATTATCTTTTTTTTCACCTTTCCTATTGATTTTGAGTACTAAGAACAAATTATAGCTTTTATTTTCTTAAAATATTAAAAATATTTCATCTATTTCAGTTGGGAGTTGTTTGCAATTGTATTATTTATTATTATAAAGAAACTTAATTATCGTGCAGTGGGCATGAATTTGTTGACCACCTTCAATAAATAGAGAATATATTTTGTGTAAGAGGGAAGCGTCGACTTAAATGATAATTGTACTTCGTGCTTAATTTCTTTAACAATTATATTTGCTTCTTTCAATTTAGATATTTAATGGTTACAAAAACTTATAAGCATTTTTTATTAATTAGAATTTAGTTTGAATTAACTCTTAAATAAAGTTTGATTAATTTCAAGAGTAAACGAGTGAAGATTAAACGATCAAAGCAAGTAAAGTTTTCAAAGGACAAGATTTGCTTAAGTTAACTTTATCTTTTACGAGACATACATCTTAAGCAAGGAAGGTCACAAAGAAAATTTTATACTTTTTACTCAAACAAGTAGAAACCATCTTTAACAAGGTAGGCTAATCATTTTGAATAATTTGAGTTTGGAATTATCGTTTTCCTCAAACTTTATCAAATTGATGTTGTTTAATTCTTTATTCAAAATTAATGAATTACACATTGGCTAAATATATATAAATCTTTTGGAAAATGATATTTTGGTAACTTCATAATCTTTGTAAAAGCTACGACAGTTAAAAGATCCAAAAGTTGTAACGCAAATATCTATCTTTGTATGAATACATTTTTCTTAAAATCCTTAAGAAAAATGGCCATTATTCCTTGGTTATGACTTTTATATAAATACCAAACATACCTCTGTTATTGGAATTGGAAGAGAAATAGCGATAGCCTATGAGAAAACATAGGGAAGTAATGAACAAAATTGTTAATACTCTTCTTTTATTATCGTCTGCCATTACAAAGAAAAAAACGGGCGCATGTTAATTAATTATTAATACAATACTTTAGATTATATTGTTTTAAGATGAAAAAAAAGTATACAAAAAAAAATAGTTAATTATTTCAACTATATAACCACATGCTTTACCCAGATACTACGTTTTTCATGATTCCCTTCTTTACAATAAAAAATTAATAATTAGTGCAGCTATTGTCACGTGCATGATTATAAAAAAATCGACGAACTAGTACTTCTTAACATGTGTACACTATAACTACTTCCTATTGTCACACAGGGCCACTTCCATACTTAATAAAGTATATTACTGATTAAACGTCTAATTCATTCCAAGATGGTTATTGTACCCATCTTCATTCATATACCTTATTTTACAGTGATCATGCTCAGTCAGACTGGAATCATTTGTGAATCGTCAATATATTATATTCAAATTCATCCATGGCTAGGTCAACTCCTCTAGTTCATTTAAAATGATATACTATAGCACAACAGTACACTGTTAAAATATTGACAAAGTATAAAATTGTATAAATAATAAAGTGAAAAATTCAAATATTATTTTTCAAAGAGTTTGGTTGATTGAGTGCAACTATTATTATTTACTAATTAAGATTGAAAGTTTTGAAATAATAAAAATAAATAATTTTTAATAAGATAAATCTATACTAGAAAACAAACAAAAAAATATGAAACTAACAATGCGGTAAATGTTTTTTACTGAGGATGGATTTTATGATCCAGTTCAATATTAAAATACTAAAAAATATACTTTTAAGTTTATTCTTGCACTGACAACAAAAGCTACTAGTCTTAATTTTTAAAGTAAGTTTAAACTTTAATAATAAAAACTCTAATATATTTTTAAAAAAGATTCGCATTAAATTCATATGTTTTGAATAATTAATTGATAAAACTTTATGTCTAGATCCAAAATTTTTAGTTGTTCTATTCTAAACAAGATTCTGAATTATTTTCTAATAATAAGATGCCAATAAATATTCAACCAATAAATCATGAAATAAGATGAAACAAAATACAAGACTAATGGAAACGAAGTGTATTAGATGGTAAAATTTCACGAAGAGTGAATGTATATTACACCTAGCTCCAATCACTAAAAAAAGTATTTTATTCAGGGGAGATTTTTTTTTCATTTTATAAAGGTTTTTACCCTCCACAAATTAATTTGTGGATATTTTTCAAACTTCTACTATTAGAGTCGCCGCAATTAATTTGCATAAATTTTTTACAACCCTTAGTATTAGATTTATACTGGGGAGATTTTTTTTTAAGAGTTTTAATCTCTTTTTTAGTAACTATTATTTTATAACATAATTTCTTAATTTAATAAAATCTATTTTTTATAATAAAAACTATATAAAATTGTAAAATACATCAAATTAATTTTATTAATGATTTAAGATAAAATACATTAATTGACCGTTACATTCTTAATATAAAAAAAGTACATATGTTTAAGTAACATTATAAAATTGACTAACTATTAGTTTACCCAATAATTTTCTTGTTGTTCTCCAATCCAATTCTTAGAGCTCTAGAAGAGAGGATTTCGCATCTGAGAGATCTGGATCTAATTTGCCGGTGTATGCTTATGACGTTTGCTTAGTT